ATAAGGTAGCCAGAAGGCTTTACTATTTTTAAAGACCATCAATTCCGGAGCTATTACGATTTGTTAACCGACATGGCATCATCATTATGAAACACAGCTATTGGCTCATTCAGAAAGTTTGGGTATTAACCAGAGACAGTGATTTATGTGTGTATATCTACAAAAGTATATATTATCTATTTAAATAACTAATATTTTTATTTAGAAATTCTGTTTATTGATATTTTCTACTTTGCGTAATGAATCCAAAGATCAGTAGTTGTTGATTTAATGTCATCTTTTAAAAATTGGGCTTACTTTTTATCATGATCATCTTTCTTAGTTTTTCACATTTTTAAAAACTTGCTTCTTACTAATAGAACCAGTCAGGTTGTCTGTGTTACTATTCTAATGATAAATTCTGCTACTTTTTTTCTTAGCATTCTGCAAACAAATCATACTTAGGTTGGTCATTTTTGTCATATCGTGTCCTGCTAAGTAAATCATACTGTGAATCAGCTTGTATAAATAAATAGACACTTGTATAGATAAAAGACACTTTTTCAGAAATGAGGAAATGGTCTGCAACACTATATTCTTTGTGTAAATTGCAATTCTTTACAGAAAATTTACCCTTGAAGTCACAATTTGTCCTAACATTGGCGATTTAGCCTCAGTTATCTTTCACAAATCATGACGTAGCCTACCGAACTTGTTTGTAGTTAGATCTTTTGACTTTCCTGTCACATAATAATAATAATCATCTTCATAATCATCATTATAAATACCAATGTAATGATTATCGTTACAATATCATAACATGTTTGAACATTAATAACGCGCGTTAGGATAATATAAGGGTCATTAAAATCAAGTTTACATTTAATTAATATTTCTAAAAGATTATTCCATGAATCATACTCCAGGTTATCATGCTCATAGGGACCCTCTGGTGGGATAGAAAAGGCAGCATAACAAAATATTCCTTTCACAATTTCAAGCTTCACTAAGCATCAAGATAAAAAAAATCATACATTTGCTATTTTTACTGCTAAAATTGAATAATTCAAGGTTGTTTTTTCAGTTTTCTTTATGTCATACTGGTTTTCTTACAATGCCTTTCGCGGTATTGTCATTTAATTTTTGGCGAAAGTTGTAAAATACCACTATAGGATATACATGGAGTTGTACTAAAGTAGAAATAAATGAACACCAACTTAACAACGAATACATATCATTCAAATTTCGAAATGGAATATATAATAATTTGCTTTTATGGATAAAGGCATGTTTGTAAAATAGGAAACAGGGTCAGGGTTTGAAAGAAATTGTCTGCAGTGGCATTCTGTTATATAACACATTATTTACACCTACTTTAGAATATTGTGGTACTGCCGGGTTACCTCATAACAATGAAAACATGCAAGCTCTTGAAATAGTTAAAAGAAGATCATTAAAATTGGCTCCCTTGCTAAAAGATAAATCTTAAGAAAAAAGGTAACAAACTTACATACGTAAGAGTAGAGAAGAGAGAGAGTGTGCATGTGTAATACAACTCTTTAAATTATAAAATGTTTCGATAATAAAAACAGATACACAATACAGATTAGCAATAATTTAAACTATCAGAAAAAAAAAGTCATCCATCAACTTAGCAAGAAACACTGACAACTAGTTTGCGATTATTCATCATTAATTACATTTGATTTCTTATAATATTCTTAGAGAGATTATTGAAGTTTTTGTAATTATTTTTCTAGTGTTCTGCGTTCCTCCTACAACCATAACTGTAGTATCTCAAATCATGAATAATGGATGCAAACTATTAACAGAATATTATAAACAACACAAATTTAAAGGCAAAAAACCAAGATGTAATCAGGTAATTCACAGACAAGTTCCTGTTAGGTGAAGGGATATGCTTGGTACGATTATAACATGAAATATTGGTATTATTATGCTTGTGGGAGCTGTCCTTTATTAAATATTAAATTATTTAGAAGCTTTAAATAATGAAAAACGCATTAAGAAAATATTCTAAAAACATTCCATTAGTGCCTGGGGATTTTCCAGTCTACGTTTACATAGATACATCCTGCAAACGACCTAATGGTCCATTAGAGCAGGGTAGCAGGGGCTCTATGGACCAGTACACTCCTCGAAAGATGTACTGGGTTCTTTAAAGCGCACATGAGCCAGTTGTGTACAATGCACGGGTGGCGCCAGGATTTGCCCGGGGGACAAGGTCTCCGACCGGGGGGAGGGGGGTGATGTCCCCGACGAGCGGTCAGATTTCCCTGACAAAAGTAAAGTGGGCGTGGTCGAGCTTCGATTAAAAGTTTTCGAAAGTGGTCTAGGGGGCGAAACTTTTGACAACTTAGGGGTTTCAAAGGCTCATTTAATTGATTTTAGCGTTTACTAATATGTAGAAAATACATATAATTTTTTTTCTTCCCAACGAATAGTGCTTTTTCTCCCCGACGGCGTGGGGGTGGGGGCAGCTCTCCCCGACGGGAGAACTTCCCCCCTCCTCTGGCGCCACCCCTGGTACAATGGGCCTACGGTTTACAGTCCTTATCCGAGAAAACTTGTTCCACCACCACACCACATAGTCTCAGAACTACAGAGGAAAATAATGTAAAACGCGAAGCCACATATCTAAACCAAAGTATAAACATTTTGTAACAGTCGTTCTAATTGAGTTTGAATAAGAAAACTAGAAACTAAGACCCAACTTTCAACATATGTTACAGTGAAAGTTTACGTGACTTCTACTAGTTCGGGTGTCATTCGTGGTGTCTATTGGTCCTAGCTGAATATTACTAAAAAACGGAAACCACTGCCTAGTAGCCTCATGTCAGGGAAGTTATAAAATAAAAAATATACCAATTCATGAGTAACCATCGCACAATGATCTTGAATTTTTGTGTTGAATAAACAGTGCAATAGGAACTAAAGTGCGTTTATTAAAACAGGCATTGCATTACGTAAAAAGAAAACAAAATATGTTTTTGTCTCTACAAAGGCAATTGAATTGAATTGAATTCTTTTACCCAGTGTCGCTTTCTTTGAATACACGGGACGTCCCCAAATACTTGCAAATCAAATTGGATATGGTTTCATTTATTCTTATTCATTTTATAGTATTACTTCCTTATGACAGCATCAGACACATCGGGGACGCTGAGCAAGGTAAATAAATTTAATGTTAATTATAAAGTAACCCAGAAAAAGGTAAATAAATGAAACGTTCATAATGAAGATAAATGCAGGCAACTATAATTCATTATACCCTTTCTAGGCCTAAGTGAAAATGTTGATAAACAACAGAAAATACTGATTATGATGGTAAGTATATATGGCCTCCTTGGCAGAGGTAATGAATAAATTAACTAAGAAATTAGTGGAGCGGTACATAGTAGTATTAATACATTTTAAGGTAAAAGGGTGAAGGTCATAGAAAGTTGAATTTTGAGGGGTGTTTACATCATTATATTGGTATTCAGGCACAGGGTGAAGGTACACACTCAATAGAGTAACTACCTACGTTAGGTTAGAATAGGCAAGTAGATGAGGGAGCCCATAGTATCCACAGTGACAAGTGGTGAAAATAATAAAATAAACCAACTGAAATGAGTAATTTGTGGTAATATTTGTAGACGAAAGTTGGCTTCATCGCATTAAACAGAACACCAGTTATCTCTGTTGCATTGTAGTGATTTATAGTTCAGGTTACAACGGAGAAGCATCTCTGAGCTGTTTGTCCTTAAAACTGTTAGTGCACATCGGATCCAGGGTTTCGAAACTCTCGCTGTGCAAGTCAATTGTGTATATTATTATTTTTATTGAAAAGAACGCATACTTCTTACTTTAAAGATAGTGTACCACTTTTTTGCCTGGGAAACACAGCTAATGTTAATCATAATAATATTATTATGGAGAAGCTTCCACTTCTACTTCATGAAAACCCCATTTCTCATTCTTCTTAACAATTTCACCAATACTTAATAACGGAGGACATTATTATAGCATCATCATATATTTCTAGTATCGCAAGGGTTTAATATCAATTTTATGTTTTTTTTTTAACGTGGACCAATCAATTACATCGAATGCTTTTCGAAAGTCTGTAGTTTAGCAAACAGTTTGCCCTTTCGTTTCCTTTGGTAACGTGCCATTTAAAGTAAAAAATATGATTTGAAGCTCATAACTGTTTCTGAATTTACCCTGTGATTCATAGATAATCCCGACTTCATTATGCCACTCTGATAAAAGGTAAGTAGGAATAAATGTGAATATCTTGTTGAGAGCTCAAAGTAGTGAGGAAGCACAGAAATTATTATGATCTGAAATAGAACCTTTTTTGTGTATCGGTACTATTATACCCTTTTCAATATTTATTTCAGTAATTATTTCTGTTAGCACTGTTTAGAGAAAATCTTTCCCCTTTCTTTACCCTGAAACAGAGATTTTACGATTTTTGTAGCCTACCTATCTCATCATTAACTTCAGACTCCGTAATTGGCTCATTCAAAAAGTTTGGGTCACCAAAGACTGTGTCTTTAAATCTTAAGTATGTTGCTTGAGGAAAACACTGAAGGTTTTGCAATTGTTCAAGAAAATTAAGATCAGCTTCAGCTTTACTGTATTTTCAAATAAGTTTTTTTGTACAGTTTTCTGCACTCCTCCTTAATAAGTTTCATAACTGTTGTAACCCAGATCATGAATAATGGATGTAAAAGATTAACAGGATATTATAAACACAATTTTAAAAAGCAATAAACCAATATTTAATCATGTAATTCTCCTCCTTTCATATATCATAGCCAAA